TCAGGAGAGCTGGGGGGGGCACCTGGTCAATGGGGTCCCCCTGGGGGTTTGGGGTCCCTGGGGATTTGGGGGTCCCCCAGGGGAGTTGGGGGGGCCGCCTGGCCAATGGGGTCCACCAGGGGGGTTTGGGATCCCCCAAGGATTTAAGGGGTTCCCAGGGATTTGGGGGTCTCCCAGGATCTGGGGGTCCCTCAGGGGAGATGGGGGTCCCCTGGCTAATGGGGTACCCCTGGGGAATTGGGGGGGCAGGGGGGTCTCACCTGGTCTCTCCTCACGGGCCGGGGGCCCTTCGGCCTCGGGGTCTCTGTGGCCGGGCCCCCCCTCCTCCTCCTCCCCCTTCCTGGGCCCCTCGGCCTCGCTGCCATCGCCCGGGGACGGGGGCACCTCGGGCACGGGGGGCTGTGGGGACACACAGGGGGGTCACCCCCGGTCTGTCACCCCTGGCCTGTCACCCCCTGCCACCCCCGAGCGGTGACAACGGTGGGGAGGGGACAGGGATGGGGAGGGAGGGGACAAGGACAAAGGGGACAGGGGTGCGGACAGGGCTGGGGACAGAGGGGACAGGGGAGGGGACAGAGGGGACAAGGACAGAGGGGACAGGGGTGGGGATGGGGAGTGGGGACAAGGATGGGACAAGGAGGGGACAGAGAAAGGGAGGATGTCACCAGGGACAGGGGTGGGGACAGGGATGGAGTTGGGGACAAGGTTGAGGACAGAAAGGACAGGGTTGAGGACAGAAAGGACAAGGTTGGGGACAGAAGGGACAGAGCTGGGGACAAGACTGGGGACAGACAGGACAGGGCTGGGGACAGAAAGGACAGTGTTGGGGACAAGGTTGGGGACAGAAGGGACAGGGCTGGGGACAGGGTTGGGGACAGACAGGACAGAGTTGGGGACAGAAGGGACAGGGTTGGGGACAGGGTTGGGGACAAGGTTGGGGACAGAAGGGACAGAGCTGGGGACAAGGCTGGGGACACAAGGGACAGGGTTGGGGACAGAAGGGACAGGGTTGGGGACAGAAGGGACAGAGCTGGGGACACAAGGGACAGCCCTGTCACTCACGTCTGTCTCCATCTTCTCGGGGCCCTTGGGCTCCTTCTCGTCCCGGGTGTCCCCGTCGTCCCTGTCCGGGGGTGGCCCCGGCCCGTCCCCGCGCTCGCTGGGGGCCGGCGTGGCTGGGGACAGGGGACAGGGGACAGGGGACACTGGGACACTGGGACAGGGTGTCCCCAGCGCCCTGCTCCTGTCCCTCATCACCCCGTGTCCCCCACGTCCCCCTTGTCCCCATATGGACCCCCCCGTGTCCCTGCCCTGTGTCCTCCCCCGTGTCCCCAGCCCCATCCTGACCCCCAGTCCCCCATGTCCCTGTCCCCATCCCTGTCCCCACACTGTCCCCACCCTCTCCCCCTGTCCCCATCCCTCTCCCCCTGTCCCCACGCTGTCCCCCCCGCCCCCCCATCCCCATGTCCCCCCCCGTACCGGGTGTGGGGGGTCCGGGGCTGGGGGGGCCGCTCTGCTCGGGGCTGGGGGGGCCGGTCTTGGCGGGGG